CAGGTGCGACACCAGATCTGGCGCATCCGTCCTCTCCAAGCACGGCGAAGTGGGCAAAGCGGGGCGGTCGTTTCCTCTGCAGGTAGCAGGTCGGCGCGGTGGCACCATCCTCGTCATTGCAGGCAATAGGTCGGCGCGGCGGTCCCATCCTCGCCAGGCGCATCACCAGATCGATGTGGCGCTCCCTTCCTCGTCATGCGCGGCATCGGGCCGGCGATGCAGCCCTCGCAGGTCGCGCCTGCCGTTGGTGTCGGCACTCCTCTCCACGCCACCACGCACGAGCCTTATCGCCGAGCAAGCTTATTACTGTTAGCGCCATGTCTGGTCTTGTCGACACCGTTCATCACAACGCCGGTGTTTACCTCCCCGCCACTGCGACGCTCTGCATAGTGGCCACAGATGCTGCCGCCCCATGGTCAGCCGTGTGGTGGTCAGGAAGATGCTTATTACTGTTAATTGTGCTACCATACTGTAAATGTTAGCAAAATGTAAATTGTCACTCATTAGGAATTGTCACCCACTGTAAGATGACATTGGTTTATACATAAATGTTCTTGGAATGCATTTGTCAATAGAATGCACAAAAGTTGTTGCTGATAAACAAAAGCTGCTAGCAAACTGCTTGACATTGCTTTTGGTAAGCCATATACTCCATGCATGATCTGTGCTACTAGAATTCACCAATGAGACCATCTGTCGTTGATCCCTGAAAATAGAAGAAAAGTAATTCAACATCATAGCCATGTATGGTTTAGAGAAAATGTTTGTTACATTGAAATGTTACCGTCAATAGTTCAGAGAAGGTATTAATGGCCATGTATTGTTCAGAAATCCCTTCCTCGGGTAAAGATGGCATTTGTGCTGCTGCGCCATCATCGACCGTCACTTTATGGCAGCTGAAGGGTATGATTGTGTTCTAAAAACAGACCAGTCACTTTATAATTTCCTTTATTCTTGTCCATTATAAGTCTCATGCGAACTTGATAGTCAGTTCTAGTTTCAGCTCTTGGACACTTTGTTAGAGGATCTCTTTTATCTGGCTTTCTTTGACCCTCATTTGCACAAACATATCTGCAGGAACTAACCTTTCCATCTAACGTTCTTTTGTTTGTGTACATTTTTCTCACCTCAAAGCCTTTTTGACCCCCATAGCTAATCCAAAACATCCAAGCCTCATCTGTAGTACTGAACTCCATGCCAACTTGAGGTAAAAGACTAGGAAGCAAGCCCTCTCTACAAGAAAACAAATAAAGATGACATGATATTAGGCGGCGAACTGAACAACAACAATCTATCCCCTAATTAGATGGACCACAAAAAATTACTATAGAACTACACACCTATTTTCTTCCATCTTAAATATGCAAAAAAAATCATTCAAGAAAGTTGATGTTCCCTTCAAGCTTCCATGTCAGATCTCCTTCAATCGGCCAATTCCAACAAAATCCAAAGAGGCAGGACAAAAAAATCAAATTAGAACCACACTAGTTCAAGTACACATCAAGAGATGACATGAGTGCAAAGATTTGTGGCACCTGCTTATGGATGGAGAGCACCACAACAGCATAGTCTGATCGCCGCCGCACGCCCTTTCGCGCCAAAACAACGTAGTCCCAGCGCCAAAAGTGACGAGCAGCCGCGCCAGGAAATAAAATACCGCGTCTCTAGCACGTGAAAGGCTATGTGATATTGGGCCAGGCCCAGCGAGCTGAGGGGGGCATCTGAATATGCTTTGGTCACCGTTAGATAGGAATGGGCGGCCAGATTTCTAGCAACCGTAGAGAGAAGTTCTCTGGCTAACTGCAGACGATCTCATTCCCTTTTCGTCTTGGTTGCGGTTTGCGCAAGAATGGAAAGGGAAAAAATCCTCCAAAACCCTTAACTATTGCGGAAGGGCCGGGGCCTGGACGTCCGGGCGGACGGCGCGTCCGAACCCAGCTCCCCCGCGTTATCCCGCACCGCATCTCACGACCTGAGTCCACATCCCATCCAGTGTCAGTGCCCCACGTCCGCATGCCACACCGCGCCCATCACGCGCTCTAGCAGCCCATCCAGCGCCCCGCCCATCCCAGAGCCCCGTGGGTCTCGGTCCACCGCCCGCTTGCGGATGCGTGCCGTGGGCGGCGTCTGTCGGACTCGAGCACCCTTGCGGTGACCCGACAATGCCCCCAGAAGGCGGCGATGAGGTTGGTTGCGGTAGATGAAACATGTGCTCTCCCAGATCTACTTTTAAAACATCCAGATAAAACCTTACAACATACGTCTAAAACAGATGAAACATTTAAAACATATGCTTGAAACATGCATGTATAGTCATAGCAACACGTGCAACATCGAGATCAACTTTTGCAACATCCAGAAGAAACACTTACAACATGAGTCTGAAACATGTGAAACACTTGAAACATTCGCTTCAAACATGCGTATAGAGCCATAGTAATATATGCAACATCCAGATGAAACACTTGAAACATACGATAAAATGATGAAACACTTAAAACATAGGCTTGCAACATATGCAACATCCAAGATCTACTTGCAACATTCAGATGAAACATTTGAAACATAAGGTTTGAACGCTCAAACATTTGAAACATGATGTGGCGGTGGGCACAACCTACACAGTGGGGAACTCCGTAGCCAAGAAGCTTCGTGTCCGAGGGACATCGAGACCGACGGTCCAAAGATACACCCTAGGTCCCCAGCGCAGCGTGAAGGCCTCCCTTTCCTGCCAGACAGGCACAGCCGGGCGAGCCTCCTTGCCTCTCCTTCCAGCTGCAGCAAAGTGGATGGGGGCATGGCGCTGAGGTGCGGGCCAGAAAGCGGCGCCAGATGTGGCCGGGAGCGGCGGCGGAGAGGAAGACGGGTGGGAGGTGTGGCAGAGCACGGTCACGGAGCAGTTGCAACTCTGCGGCGATTTTTTTAAAGAAATTGTGATACCTAAAGGGGAGCGGATATAGAAGCGGATAACGGAGCCTCTTGGGCATCGCGGCCCACCAACAAGGCCATCTGGACGGACGGACTGGACAGTGCACTATCGTATTGCGATAGTCCGATTTAACTATTGAAACCAATTTTTTCTTTAAAAATAGTTTTAAGACGGTCTTTAAAAAATAGTTTTAAGACAGTTTAGTATAACATGCATGAGATGCCCTATGTGATGCCACATCAACTATGAGGGAACTATATTGATAGTTCAGGATCAAATAGAGTTTTGTCAAAAAAAGTTACAGAAATAAGTTCCAAAATCTGGTTTAATCTTAGAAAATTTATACAAATTTTGTTTAAGCTCAGAAAAGTATGAAGGCCTTTTAGATTTTTTTAAAAAAAATCATGTAGTTGATGTGCATAGGTTAGACCCAAACAAACGAGACCATATAAGACCCAAATAATTTTAATTTGTGCTATAATATTTTATCATGATTTTAGAAGAAATCTGAAACTCGTTTCATATTTTTCTAAGCTAAAATAAATTTCCTAGGAATTTTCTAATATTAAACTAGATTTTGAGGTTTTAAGTTACATATATTTTCAAAAAAAAATTAGGAAGATTTTTAATTATTATGTTTGTAACTTTTTCTTGGTGAACTCTATTTGACTATCCTAAACTATTAACAAGGTCCAGTTTATCTCCCTTGCGTCAAAATATCCAGTTTTATAATTTGAAGAAGGTAAGGTGTATCGAACTCCAACAAAAGTTGAGACTTGAGTGAGGTCAGAGGGAGTTTTCTGAAGAAATATGGAGAGGCCGAACAATGACTTTGCAGGGCAGCACTCGAGCGAAATGCTCACGGTACCGTACAACTTTGCATGAGAAGCGAGCAAACCGGACCTTGGCCCCACCCAGCACGACAATGAGAGTGTCTCTAATAGGTGATTTATATGGGCAGCCAAACCCAAAATAGGTAGCAGGAGACTCAAAATTAGTCTATAATAGAGTACTTATACAGGAGACATATTTTGGGTTACCTGAGAGGCACAACCCAAATATGAATATCCTCTATTCTGAAAACCCATTTGCAGAAAGAATTCTCTTTTGGATCTTGTTATTGAGGAGGATGTCGAATGAGTATTGAACCCTTTAATTATAGCGCTAGTCAAATATTGAATAGGTTTTGTATTTTAGGTGTTATTGTTGGAGATACTCTTATTACCAGAATCAACCCATAAGCACAGAAAAAACTTTAGGCGTTTTCTTTCTCTCAGGTTGAAAAGAAGATAAGTATAAAAAAATCTGATGACACAAGACTTTATGGTGCACTATTTACATAGTAACGCGTACTTTTTTTATTACATAGCACGGGTACTCGTATATGCATCTATACTCTCGATGTGACAAGATGTTACAACTATAAATGAGTTGCACTTGAATTCGAGAGTGTTTGGTTCTTTAGTCGCTTATAAAATTTATGTCACATCAAATGTTTAGAGGCTAATAAGAAGTATTAAATATAAATTAATTATAAAACCAATTACATAGATAGAGGTTAATTTCCGAGACGAATTTTTTAAACCTAATTAATCTATCATTAGCACATGTTTACTGTAGCACCATGTTATCAAATCATGGACTAATTAGGCTTAAAAATTAAATCTCAAAATTAATCGCAAGTTGTGCAATTAGTTTCGTAATTAGTCTATATTTAATACTCCATGCATGTGTCCAAATATTCGATGTGACAGGAATTTTGGGAGAATGAGAAGGAACCAAACAGGCCCTTAATTTCGGGTATGATGATTGATTAGGTCCACATTTTTTCGTCTATCACTGAGGAGCAGAGTTTTTCTGAACCGGCAATACAAATAAAACTAGTTGATTTTGACATTATGCAGTTTGCAATAACCGGTACTGTATAAGAGGCAGGAGTAGTTCACATTGTGCTCGAGAAGGCGATTCCAGTCCCTTGCAGTGCATCGTCATCGAACTTGTCCAGCCTCTGCGTCATCTCCAGCGTCATATGATTGCTCCAGTCCCCAGCAACACCCTTTCTGAAGAAGCTTTAGTTCTTGGTCCCTAACCTAGTGCTTCCATTTCTGTTCACCTCCATGTCCCTCAGCTTCCCCAGGCTACACAGCTCCACGATGGCGCTCACCAGCCCGCCCTCCTCCTCTTCCTCGGAAAATTCGCAGCCCATGAACTTCGCTAGCTTCCTCACGTGCGCCTCAGGCTCAAGCAGCTTCTCCTCGTACCTAAACAGCACCTTGTCAGGCCTCCTCACGCTCTCTTCCCAGTACTGGAGGACATGCTGCCACTGCGGGCTGCCCGGACATCGGCCGTCGCAGAACAGCTCCAACGCTTCCTGGATTGTGAACGACCGGGCGTCGACTCCCCTCGCTGACACCGCCTTCCTCGTGAACAGCCAGTAGGAGACCAGCGCGTCCTTGGGTTCCCGGCAGACATACACGATCCGGCACCCCAAGCGCTCCCCGTCCTCGGTGATGCTGCCGGGCAGCAGGGAATAGGGAAGATGCGTAGCGAGCACGCGCGGGGACGGGAGCGCCTCGAACTCGTCCTTGTTCCTGTCGTTGAGTTCGATCTCGAGGAACCGGACGCACTCGTGGGGGCTGCGATGGCGCAGCGGGTGGTCGCAGTCGGACTGCGGGTGCGTGGAACGCTTCAGCGTCGCGAAGGCGAGCGCCTTGAGCCAGGTGGTGCCGGACTTGGGGAAGCTCGCGAGGATCACGTCGGTGGGCCTTGGCACGAAGCAGGAATGGACGGCTGGCAAGCCCTCCTTCGCTGTGACCTCGGGCAACCAGAAGCCGCCGGCGTAACGGCGGAGCGCGAATGGTGGCCACCTGGTCTCGAGGGGCGGCGCGCGCCGAAGGGATGATCCCGGCTACGTCGGCGTGAGGCGTCATCACCAGTGCCGCGCCTTCTTGTGCGTCATCCTCTGGCTGTCTGAAATCCATCATGCGTGCTACCGATATGGATTTCACGAAACGTCACTTGCAGTATGTGTCCAGTTTGCCTGTTGCGGCCTGGATGTTAGATGTAAGTGTACCTCAAAAGAGATGTAACAAGAAAAACCTGTACAGGGAACTTAAGATATAATAGTGTTGACGACAAAAATATGACTAGGAAGTCAAAACATAGACCGAGAAATGAAATATAATTGAAAAGCATCAAAACTAGGCTGAATTTGCAAAGTCCTGGGAAAACCAGCCCAAACCGGTTTTGTCGTGGATGTTTCGGACGAAAAACGAATGTCAAAACTGCATAGTAGCCGACTTGCTAGTCAGCCTCACGTGTGTAGCCTCGGATGATAAGTCCTAGCTAATCACGTCAACAAGTAGTACATGCAGTCTGCATCTGTGGAGCTAATCACGACCATGCATGGCGATTCCGTGCGATTCCCAAACGTCTCGCCAACGAAGAATGTGCTCCATGATCGGCAGTGGGTTCGTGACATCAAAGGAGTGCAAGTGTTGGTCGACTATATCCTCCGTGTCTACAACTCCCAATCGTTGGCCAGAAAGAAAGGTGGGAGATCGAGGGAGACTAGGCTCGCAGACATCTCACCTTGCACGTTTATGGGAAAAAAAAGACGAGGGAAAGATTTTGCGCACCCGGGAAGAACACGGCGACGACGTGGATGTAGGCAGGCAGGTCCTGTCGGCGGTCGGCGAAGAACCTCCTGGCGTTTCCCTTATATATATACTCATATATATCAATCTGCAGATCTATCATTGGATTTGTTTACAGTCCTCGCGGTCCGCGTGGGGAAATATTGTATACGGGCATACGGCATACGGCATACGCCACTTTCAGTTCCCACCTCGCCGGTCGCCGGTCGCCGTCGCCGCCACGCCCAGCGCCCGGCCATTCTCTCTTTTTTCTATTCTGCCTGCGAGGCTGCGACCGTCTTCTTCTGGCCAGTGGATTAATTCGTCAGGCCCAATTGGCCTTGTCCTTTCGGCATCCACGCACGCCATTCCGCTATTTTCCTTGTTCCTTCACTGGCCGAGAACATGCATGTACTTTCATCATTCGAGAATGATAATCTTAAAAAGTACTTCGAATACAAAACTATTAATATAAATTCTGTATCCTAAGCTTCTATATAATTTGACTAATTACGGATTCGATTTGTAAAATTTCTTTTTTTTTCCTTATACAAAACACGCTTATCATTCTGGTGGAGGGAGCAAATTGTAGCGGGTACAAAAACTTGTTGCGTGATTACTTAGGCACGCCCATGCTAGCTATAACGAGCTAGCCATCTTTGTTGGTTTTTATTGGACTTCGGTCAACCTTATTTCAATTAAATCAAATAAAATTTATAAGGTCCATAAGCCTATGTGCAATAAAGTACTATTCCCATATGGGAAACTAACTGAATATTGTTTCATCTTAAATAAATGGCTATTATGTATATTATGTGCATTTGGTATGAGGTTAAGAAAGGTGGAAAGCAAGCTGCACAGTGGCGCCAAGTCTGAGTTCGTATCATGGAAGTGCAGTACATAAGTATTTAGATAGTAAATTATTTTAAGTAATTTTTAGAGTTTGTTATTATTTTAAAAATACTTGTAATAAGACTTTTAAAATTTATTTGTCTTATGTTTTGGTCAATTATATATCTACACAAGGACATGCTACGTATAGGCCTGGTTTGGTAGAGCTCCGTTCGACTTCGGTTTCAACTCCTGCATGCACTAGTTGGGTTTCGGTGATTAATGACAATACGATATTATTATGACTAACGTGTGTTTTACAGAGGCAATTAAGTTAGGTCATGATAATGGCAATTGATTGGGCAATCATGGTTGTCATGCCCCTACGATGGAAATCGTTTCGGTTTTCAAATGATAGACGACAAGGTCAAGGACGGACTAGTTCTAAGTGTCGTTTGGTGTTGAAGAGACACTTAGAGTAGTTTAGGACTTTGTTTTCCTTTGACCGTACTATTAAGGGGGGTATGGACTAGTAGCTTGACCTAGGTGAGTCTAGTGGATTAGGTGTGGTGCATACTTATCAAATCTAGCACTAGATAGCTTAGGAGTAGCCCTAAGATCAATTGGATCAAACTTCATTCACATATGATTTCAAGTTGGAAGTGAATGGAGAGTCAAATGACTGACCGGACGCTGGTCTGGTTGTGACCGGACGCTGAAGGGTGAGTCCGGTTAGTTTATTTGATCAACTGGAGCCGTCTGGTTGCGACCGGACGCTGAGTGAAATATGACCGGATGTTAGGTGCCAGAGTCCGGTCAACTCCAGAGAGGTTCCAGAGAGAGAGTTTCCTGATCGGACGTGTCCGATCAATGCTAACCAGACGCTGGTCAGGATCCGGTTACTGACCGGACGCTAAACAGCGAAGTGACCGGACTCTGGGCGCCAGCGTCCGATCAACATCAGTAAAGTTCCAGAGAACAGTTTTCGTGACCGAACGCGTCCGATCAGTGCTGACCGGACGCAGGTCAGAGTCCGGTCACAACTTAACGGCTCTATGGCAGGGAAAACTGATCGGAGCATCCGGTCACCTTGACCGGAGCGTCCGGTCACCCCGCAGAGTGCTGACTCAACCTCCTAACGGTTCGTTTTGAATGAGAGGGTATAAATAATTTCTCTATTCATTCAAGGGAGGTTTCTTGCCCATTTAATCAGCTGAGAAACACCCTTAAGAGTGCCTTGGAGAGCAAGAGTCTAATGAGGTGATTGAGATTTAAGAATCCAAGATTAAGGCCTTATTAGTGCAAGGAGAATAGCAAGTGTGCATCCACCCTTCTCATTAGGCTTGTTGTGGTCAAGTGAGAGTTCGTGCTTGTTACTCATAGTGATCGCCATCACCTAGACGGCTTGGTGGTGATCGGGAGTTTGGTGATCATTCGGCGGAGCTTGTGGATAACCCAACTCAAGTTATGAGCGGTTGTGGGCGATTTACGACGACGGAGTGTCGAAGAATCAGCCCGTAGAGAGCACTTATCCTTGCTTGGATCAAGGGAGAGCTACACCCTTGTGCGGGTGCTCCAACGAGGACTAGTGGGAGTGGTGACTCTTCGATACCTCGGCAAAACATCACCGCGTTCTTTCTCCTCTCTTTACTTTAAGCATTTATATTTGAGCAATTCATTTTTTGTCTTTACATTCTTAGAATTGCCACGCTAGAGGGATTGGAACATAGGCTGCAAAACTTTTGTGCTGTAGAACATTAGGAACACATTCAAGGCACAAGGGGTGAAGTGGGCTAAGTGTAGGGTTTAATTATTGCAAAGAATTTTAGAATTATCCCAATTCACCCTCCCTCTTGGGCATCTTGATCATTTCAATTGGTATCGGAGCCTCGTGCTCACATATTTAGGCTTAACCGCCTAGAGAAAGATGTCCCATAGGGATGGACCTCCTCCTATCTTTGAGGAAGATGATTTTGGAAAATCCGCATGGAGGCATACTTAGAAGCTCTAGATGTTGGAATTCTTAGAGCCGTCTCTCAAGGCTTCCCAAAACCTAGGGATCCCGCACATCTTCAAGGCGATGAGGTCAATTATGAGAAATGGAATGCAAAGGCTAGAAACACCATCTTTAGAGGCCTTTGTAAAGATGTGTTTAACCGTGTGCGGAACCACAAGGATGCCCATGCACTATGGTCGGACATTTGTGCGCTCCATGAGGGAACAAAGAGTGAGCGTGAGGAACGTTATCATCTCGTCATGAAAAAGCTTAATTCTTTTGAGATGCTTCCTAAAGAAAGTGCTAATGAGATGTACTCACGTTTAAATGTTCTTGTATAGAAAGTCAATGGGCTCGGACTTACACAAATGCAACCATCCGATGTTGTAAGAAAGATCTTAAGTGTCCTTTCCATTGATAAATATAGGCATATTGTGACCGTGATTCGTCAAGGTGATCTTTCCACCGCTACACCAACACAAATATTAGGAAAGATCAACGCACATGAGATGTATATGCACATCACACCAAAAGATGGCTCATCTTCCACCAAGAAGAAAAACTTGGCATTCAAGGCTAGCCAAGAGAAGGGCAAAGCAAGAGTTGAATATGAGAGCTCAAGTGATGATGAAATTGATGATGCAAGCCTTGCTCTCATGGTGAGAAGAACCGCCAAGATGCTAAAGAAGCTTAACAAGAACGGTGTCAAGTTTGATGGCAAGAAAAAGAAATTCTTCACTAGCAATAGAAGGAAATCAATCTTGGAGATGGATTACTACAATTGTGGAGAACTTGGTTATCTAGCTCATCAATGCCCCAAGCCCAAGAAAGACAAGTACAAGAAAAAGTACAAGGGCAAGAAAGATGACTCAAGTGATGAAGATAATGATGAGAAGAAGAAAAACAAGACATACAAGAAGAAGGATGGCAAGAAAAAGAATTTCCACAAGAAGAAGAAAAATGGCAAGGCATACATCGTCGGTGATTGGCCGCTATTGTGATTGACTCTTCACTATCTTCACCGACACCACTGCTATCATCCTCTACACACATATGCCTTATGGCCAAGGGTGAACGAAAGGTACAAAGTGATGATGAGAGTAGTGGTAATGAACATGCTAGCGATGATGATAGTGATAGTGATGATGAATTTGAATCACCTTCATATGATGATCTTGTCAAATTGCTAAATCAATACACTAAGATCATTATAAAGACTAGAGCTAAGAATGAAAAACTAGAACTTAAGAATGACTCTCTCTTAGCTAAATGTGACATAGCCAAAAAAACTAGTGTTGAGCTTAGAGAAGCAAATGATGCTATGTCATCCAAACTCAAGGAGCTTAAATCTTCTAAGAAGGAGCTTAAAGAAAAACATGATAAACTTGAGGGGATACATAATGAGCTCATCACTAACTACAATATGCTAAAAGAAGAGTATACCAACCTCAAGGTTAATCATGCTAATCTTGTTGTCTCTCGTGAGTTTTTATCTAA